ACAAAATCCTTAGGTTTTTTAAACCAACAAAAGTCTCGGACTCCACATGTTCCAGTCCCAAGCTGCCCAAATCCAGGAGTTGCAAGCCATTCAACGGCTCGAACATCTTCTTGGGCAAAACTTGGAAGGGATTCCCCGAGAGTGACAACCGCTGTATGCCGCTTGACCTTCTGAAATTGAAAGCATCCGGCGCGACACTGGAAATGTTTTGATTGCTCAAACTCACATCTTCGAAGTGCAGAACGCCAGCAAGGCTGCAACTTGTGAGCTTCTTCAAGCCAGTGGGCAATTGGATGCAGTGACATGGGAAGCATCCAGAGGGTCTCGGGTACGCATCTGCTGTAAGCAACAACCACAGAATTGCAACCAGCAAGACTGGAGAATACCTAGAGTCGGTGCTCGCAAAACCACGCAAACAAAAAAGGTACATGAACATATGAATCGCTTAAACGAAAAGGAGTTGAGCGAAGTACTTAAACAAAAATCCGTCTGTCTGGGCAAATTACAGTACTTTGCAGCATCTTCTGGTTGTCGGTCTCCAGGACTGGGGAGTGGAGCTTCGTGGGTGTCGTGGATCTTGTTGAGGTTGTGGACGATGGCGTTCCACAGCACGACACACGGTGCACACATGCGCAAGCGAGTAGAAAACGGCAAAAAAACCAAAGAAATCTGTAGGGAAAGCAAACGATGGATCCAATGTAGCTCTGAAGTTCACCGCGGCTTGGTCTCCAAAATTCCCTGAGATGTCTTGGTCCAGCCCTAGCTCATACGTGGCCAGCACAGTCATGATGAGGTATGTGCCGGAGTAGGCAACATCAAAAACGGCATCCAGCACGGCAGCGCCCACACGCGCCCAGTTTTCAGAAGGGAAAACAAACAGAACTGTGGGATAAATGCTGTTCAAGAAAAGGAAGCCGACGAAAGCCCAGAAGCATCGTTGGAATGGAGCTACGTGATGCTTGCCGGATGAATGAAATGAAAGGGACACAATACCACCCATGATCTGTAACTTGCCAAGTGCTTGCAGCATCACAGTGAAAAACTGCAAGGTAGCCACTTTGAAGGGAAAGAATGTCCCTTGGATACCACAGTACTTCTCATAGAGCAACTGAATGGGCTTGGCTTTCCTCTTCTGCCTCTGTGAACGGCACAAGTCGCTCAAAAGGACAATCGTCAAGGCTAGGTAAGGCAAAGAAAACAGCATGGAAGGTAACAGCAATAGGCTGTTCTCGAACCAACCTGAGTCAGAATCACTTCCGCTTCTCTCAGACCTCCAGCACCCTGAGGATCTGATTTGCGCACGGGGCCGATGTGAGTCGACCGTTTCTAGAGCAAAGGCGTCATTGATGAGCTTTGGCAGGTTGGAACGGACAAAAGGTGGACTGTATCGCATGAAATATTGCAGGGCAAGGTACATGGCAGCGAGCGAAGAGACTGCCTGAAGGATCAAAACAGCCACCCTCAAGGGTCGAAACCACTGAGTCGACTGCCTTGACACATGATGTGCACGTAGCTTAGGTCGCGAAACAAGCAACGGCTCAGTCAAATGGGTCGCAAGCCCCAACTGCTTTGCCAAGCGGTGCACATTGTCTAACTGATTTTCGACTTGGGTCAAGCGTTCGTCCAGAAAACGGACAGTCGCTAGATAGCCATTGATGTTCAATATCATCTCAGCACACCTGCGACCGGTCTCAGCAGCTGCGAAATAGTCACGAACATGCACGATCTCAATGTTCAGCTCACCGGACTCTATTCTTCTCTTCAGGAAATCCCAAGCCTCGATCATGCCGTGCCAACATGAAAACGTCACATCGCAATACAAAAGATCCAAAATATGACTGGCACTGCCTTGGAGCAAAACATCCTCTTGCGCTGGCGCTAACAACTTCAAAGCAGGGCGCATATTAGGGCGTGATGTAAAATCACGTGTTTGGAGGAACTCTTGCAGTGGCAGGCATATGTCTCTATTGAATTTGTCCAATTGGACTCTTGCTTCGATGAAATGTTCTGTGAGGCTACTGATGCGTGGCTGGACTATGTCGATGTCACCATCTTTTCCACCAAAGAGTCTGGACATGTCGATCTGCAAATGCTTCGCATACTTTGACTCGACCTGGACGTGCAGTTCCTTTGACAAATCATGCATCCACTGGAGCCGAGCTGCTGTGTAGGCAACGCTGCCCAAAGTGAGGAAGACGATGAGCAAAAAGGCGACGGTTCCAGGTCCTCCTGTGGAGTGTGACATGCTAAAACAGGCAGCTGGCAACAAGCTGATGATAATCAGCAGCAGCAAATGTTTGCTTTCTACCTCGGCTGCAGCTTGCGTGAGGATGAGCAAACTGAGCTCTATATACTGGCGCCCAGTGTTCAATTGAACAAATATCCTCTTGGCAAGGCCTAACCAGCGGTGTCTCTCACAATAACCGTGCAGCTCAGCATGAAAGGAGGTGCATGTCAAATGGCTACAAGGGAAGGGTCGAGTTTCATCCAGTATGTCCATTCGCTGTTCTCCAACACTGCGCAACTCAGTCTCGGTATCTTCTGTCTCTTCAGCTTCACTGGTGTAAGCCCTACCAAATCTGGTGGCTTCGAAACTGCGCCGCAGCTGCGGCGTGACTCGAGTGAAGGGAAGCCGAGTCAACCTGACACTAACTTGTTGTAGCCACCGAAAGACACATGAGCACCAGAAGTAGAGCCACTGGAAGCTCCTCGGACAAAATCGAAGCCCACACCGGCGACTTGGTAAGCCTTCAATGTTTATCCAGAGATCCAAGCTGCTACCTCTCAGCCATTTCAAAGACCTGATGCTTTGCTGCAGCTCTGTCCTGACTTCCAGTAAGACTTGGCCGCATCCACTGAGATCAAAAACCAAACTCTCCAGGTTCCTCAAGGAGAGAAAGGCTGCGTTCAAGGATCCCAGCTCCTCCAATTTCGGTAAGTTCATGAACCTGCGCAGGGAAAAGACTAGGCTTGCAAAGGAAAGGATGACGTTGTAACAAAAAATCATTAATAGAAAGATACGTGCTTTAAGCATGTTCATCACCCGAACCAGAGTTCCAGGTCCATGAGGTTCTCCATCTTCCGCAGCAAGTCTGCAAGGCCTGCTGCACTTCGAAATGATGATGAGCCGGTGAAGCGCAACTCCAGTTGATCCAGTGATTTTACGAATGGCAAACGATCTATCTTCACAAAATCCCAACTCTTCAGGCCAGAAAAGCCTAAATCCAAACGTAAGACTCTCAGATCACCAGGGAGGTTCTCCAGGAGACGTTTAAGCTCATTGTCCGAGAAATGCTGGCAGCCGGTGAAGGAAAGTTGCACCACCTTTCGACCATCATCCAACCGCAAAGCCCTTGCAAGGGCTTCTGTTTGTTTCCCTTCCCAAACGAAGCCATGCCAACTTGCCAAAGCAAAATGTGAAGCAAGAGCTTTATCTACACGCTCGTAGTTTGGATGCGCTAAGGGGTTTGACTGCGAATCTTCTAGCTCTTGAGTCTCCAAACGAGGAAAAGCGATGCTGTTGAGGATCCTCACTTTATCTGTCTGCTCAGTGGCACTTGCATCCTCGCTGTGTCCAACGAGATTTACTTGCCCAAAACACAAACTAATTGCGTCTACACACTTGATGCTTATCGTATTATGATATCCTAAACATAAAGTGTATGATATGCCCTTTGAACAACATAAACATGTTGACTGACTCTATCTTCGCACCAAGTGTCTTCAATCTTCACCTCTAAGCCTTTCTCCAAAATGCTCGTGGGAAAATCACGTTCTCGGACCGACTTCTGGTGCAGCCCAACGATCCCAATCATACGACTCTCACCTCCCGCCAGGCCGTCGGTAAGCACATGAGCCTCAGATAATTCAACATGGCATAGCCCTGGCTATTACATGATGGGCTCAAGAAAATCACAAAACAATCTAACACATACTGGTTGCTTTCTTTTTGGCA